GCCCATCTTCTTCCCGCTCTTGCTGCTCCTGCTCGCCGAAGCACACGCGTGGCTACAGGTGAGAATGCTCAAACTTTTTCCCCGTACATTACCGACAACGTAAAATTGAAACTTCCCAATGATCGTCTTTCTCTTGCGCCGACGCACACGGGTGGCATATGGTCGTTGATTTATTCAAACAGCTGATAATGTACCTTCACATTTTTCTCGCTCACGGGATTCACAATTTGAACATCAGAATACGTAGCATTCTCAAATGTCTTTTCCGTTCCTCGCCTGCTGCTCCTGCTTGCCGACGCACCCGGATGCAAACGGAAGGAAACTATCGCCAGCATAATGCAGGCGAGCAGAAACGTTCGCGAGTCAAAATGCATCGTATCCGTCTCATCCGCTCCTTCCCTTTCTTGCCGACGCGTACCACGCGTGAATGCAGGCGGGAGACTCGAAGCCGCCCAACTGCAGCGAGTCCGTGTCGATCAACTGCGTCAAATGCATTCCGGGACGAGGCGACCAGCTGGTCACCGCTGCAGGGTACGTGCGCTGTAGAAAGAGCTTTAAGAAACAATCTGGGGCTAATGCGAACAAAGTTGAAGGCATGGTTGCGGAACCACTCCTCTCTGCCTTGGGACGAATGACCTTTGAACCAACCAAACACCAGACATTTTAGCAACGTACTTGAAGTTCGAACCATGTACGGCCACGAACCCCGTGCCATACGCCACGACCATCATCAGGCATCGCTGTCATCTGTATTCTGAGAAGTCTCTAGGACCAACATTCCCACTACCGTCCCCCCTTCAGGTACCAGGACCTGATTCTGCCGATGGTGCACGCGGGTCCCCTGGCAGTGAACCCCGTGTCATACGCCACCATCATCATCGGCGTCGCTGTCATCTGCCAAGTCTTCGCGCTCATCTCCTTCGGCCCCTTCACAGACTACGGCACCGGCCGTATGGACGTGAGTCGCGGGGTTTTGTGGCTGTGGGATTGGTTGTGAATGCTCTCGATCAAAGTGTTCAGAGGGGCTCCGGACACAAGTGCTCGTTCTCATCTCCTTTTGGCCCTTCATGGGCTATGGCACCGGCCGCATGGAGCGGGGCATTCTGTGTGCGTGGGGGTTTGATTGTGGATGCTCTCAGTCAAGGTGTTGAGCGGCGCTCAGGAGATGGGTCTTTGCCCTCATCTCCTTCGGTCCCTTCATGGGCTATGGCACTGGCCGCATGGACGTGAGTAGCAGGATTCTTTATGTTGGGAGATGAATTCTGAGAAGGTGGGGCTTTATCCATCATTGCTATGGCCGAGAGTCACCATCCTTACTTCCCTCCCTCCACACCCATCGGTGTGCTGGGCGACAGCTCCTACTGGTGGTTCGCTGGCCTGCTCGTCATCATTCCTGTCTTTCTTAACACTCCCCGTTTGTTATCCACCCTCTCCAACCCCTCTCCACCCCCCGCAACCCCCCCATCCCTCTCCCCTCTCCAGCTGCTCAAGGTGGGAACGCTGATCGGTGTCATCCCCTCCATTGTGATAGGCGTGCTGGGCGACAGCTCCTACTGGTGGTTCGCTGGCCTGCTCGTCATCATTGCCAACGTGGGCTATGGTCTCTGCACCGTCAGCTACAACAGGTGAGATAAAGGCGACTCTGTAACGCGTATGAAAGTGCTGGCACTACCTCCGGCCCACAACTCTTTGCTGTCATGCTCCTTGTCATCCTTGTCTATCTCCAATCTTGACCTGTCCTTACTGCCATTCACTTTCCATGTAGTTCGAATAAGTCTCAGAATTTCCCGCATACATTTACCAATGCTAGATTCTCACCTTCCGTTTCCTGCCAATGCCCCTGCTGCTGTTCCATCCCGTTATGCTTCCCCCCCCCAACCCGCCCGGCTGCCAGCTACCTGCCTGTGCTGGTGGATGCCACGCCAGCAGTGATGCATGCTGAGGTGTCAGGCGACAAGGAGAAGATTGCAGCCATCCGGGAACAGGTGGGTGATATGTGCGAGGGGTAAGGGGCGAGGGCTAAGGGGCGAATAGGGGCGACGGGAAGGGGAAGCAGTCTGCCTAAGAGACGTGGTCTCAACCCGACACCGGTTTTCCACTCATGTTCATCGTTCGTTCTCTTGAATGGACCTTGCATTAATATAGTGGTGGTACACGGGAAGATGCAGACACATGCAAAACAAGCAAACTTCTCTCTCTCTCCTCTCCCTTCCTACCATTTCCCTTCCTGTTCCCCCTCCCCCTTCAGGTTGAGAACCGCATCTCCCTCATAGGCCTTGCAGCAGGCTGTCTAGCAGACGTGGTGGCGACCCTAGCAGCGTTCGTCATCACCCTCGCTGCCACCACCGACCTGCTCAAGATGCGCCTCGCAGGGGCCTTCTGCGGCCTCTGGTGGCTCGTCTTCTCCGTCTTCACCTTCCTCTGGCTCCGCACCCGCCCGGGCCCGCCGCCGCCCGCCTCCGCCACCGCGGGCGGCGCGGGCGGCAACGCCGCCCTGACCATCGTCGCTAGCTGGCGGCACATGGGCGCGCTGGTCTCCGAGGCTAGGCGGTACCGAAACGCGTTTGTCTTCATGCTGTGCTATTTCATATATGCGGACGGATTCTCCACGGTGATTCAAGTCGGGGTGCTGTTCGGTCAGCACGACCTGTGTGTGGAACCCGCAATGCTAGCCGTCATTGCCACCTCGGTCTCCTTCTGGGCTGCGCTTGGGATGCCGTTGGCTTACTACCTTCAGAAGCGGCTCGGGTGGAACAACAAGACGATGGTTGTCGCGCTGCTGACAACCATGCTGCCGCTGCCGCTCTGGGGTTTGCTAGGGTATTTTACCCCGGACGGCGGGCTCGGGCTGAAGGCGTCGTGGGAGCTGTTTGCGTACTCGGGGTGGTTTGGGTTCTGCCTGGGCCCGCTGATCTCATACTCGCGCACGCTGTTTGTGGATCTCATTCCCAAGGGCCGAGAGGGTGCATTCTTCTCGCTCTACGCCATCAGCGACAAGGGCAGCTCGTGGCTGGGGCCGTTTGTAGTGGCGGCTATTGCTCAGGTAAGGAGCTTGGCAACTTTTGTCAACCCGTTAGTGACCTCTTCACTTGTTCCTCTTTCCCATCGCCCCCTTCTCCTCCTCCCCTTTCCACTCTTTTCCCCACGTCCCCCACCCCACCCACCCCCAACCCCCGACCCCACATGCCGCTTTCACCTCGTTTGCTTTGCGACCATCTCAGCTTGTGTGCGCTGTGCTCGATTAGTGTTGCGCTTCATCACATGGCTAATTGTTTCTCCCCCTCGTTCGTGCCGTGATGCAGTTCACAGGGAAGATCCGGCCCGCCTTCCTGTACATCTTTGTTGTGATGCTGGTGCCAATCTTCTTCCTCAACACGTACCTGGATTACTCGCAAGGACTCAAGGAGTCAGGCCGGCACGACGGGCATGGGCAGCAGCCTAGTGCGGACGATGCAGCTGAGCTTGGGGAGGAGGAGCGTGTTCCTCTCACCCAGTTTTAGCTGCTTATTAGAGAGTTGGTGTATGACTACAGTTCCATGCACAAAATGCGTGCATAGTAATGTTGTAGGGTTTTACTTGCCAGCACAAGATGCTTAGACCAGACACAGAGGTAGTGTCAGATTTGAAGGGTGCTACAGGTTCTTGTTTGCGGGGTAAAAGCGCCACCCTCCGCCTCCCTCTTAGATGCAGGCACTAGGCAAGCAGTAGAATGGCCGTGTAGATGACAGAACAGTCACAGTTTGAATGGCTTGGGGATTTCTTGAGCTCTTATACTGAATCTGACAGTAATTAGGTAAATGGCCGTTTGACGAGATATATACTGCCGAACCTGGCAGTCTTGAACAACACAGACGAATATGGGGGCCCGTGCGGAGGAAGATATGGAGAGGTTTGGCAAAGCCACAACGCTCGAAGACATGACGTAGGTATGGTTCAGGTATGGCAAGTTGTTGGCTCGAGCATGTTGGCCCGAGCCTGGGATGAGGTGCAGAGAGGAGAGCTGAGCTTCGGTTGCCCGATGATTCTGGGTCTGGGGCCAACATCATAGGCATGCAAAATAGTCTGGTAGCCCTATTCGATTGTATGCAAAACCGTCGATACCCCAGTTCTGCTGCGCAAGTTTGTCTGGTACCGCCACTAAAAACACTGTGTAACAGCTGACGCAGCACATAAAAGAAAGCAATATTTGCATCGATCGATTTCGTTTTCGATTTCATTTTACTGCGGTTCTTACCACGTCTTGTTTGACGCCTAACAACGATTATTGCGGGCAACTATTTCCCGTTAAATGTGCACGATAAATTTAACGGAAAAATAAGTTGGAATGAAAGTATACGGGATCATTTATTGTAACAATATATTGCACCCAGTATATTGCTACCAGGAACTGTTAGGGCAGGGAAGAATAAATATAAACCCCTAGGGACCTGGACGTAATTCCTGGAGGGATCAACCCTAAACATGAGAAAGGGCATTGTTTTTAGGGTTGATGCCTCCCCGAGCCGCATCCGTTTCCGATCGGGTTTGATTTTTCTCTGTCAGGTGTAGTGAACGGTGTTGTTCATCTGGGACAAACAGTCGTCCGAATAAATACATGTTTAGCGCGAAGATAAGCGTGGTAGAAATAAAAGACTAAGTTAAAAAACACGCATTACTTGGACAACATAGAAAAAACTCCAAAACTGAGAGTATTTTGGATACAATTGCATAGGGTTACCATAATATTTTGCATGCCTCTGATTTTGGCCCCGGGTCTGGTTGCGACTTTTCAGGACGTGGTAAAAGTGGAGAATCGATCGCCTCAGGGACGTTTTTTAGCACGGTTTTAAACGGTTGTGTATCTTTCGTAAGCAAAAACTCGGGGTTTCAGTACGGTGACCGGATCGATCTCCCCCCAATCGAGCACTTTTACCGCGTCCAAGGTGCAGCACATCGCTAGGCTCGGGGAGGTTTGACGGAAGGTCCGTGTGCCAAGCCAAGCCTGGTTTGTCCTTGCGTGAATGGGTGAGGTTCGACGGAGGGGTGTAGGAGGAGGTCAGGAAAGGGAAGCAGGCAGGAGGGTGGTGACTGATGATGAGGGTGGGTGGTGGGCACAGGGCGGAACGAGTGAGGCAGGCAACTGGACCACCAGGGGCCGTCCTTTCTGGCTGACATTCGCAGGCCAAGCGGGCAGGAGGGTGGGTTGGAGTTGGAGAGGTGCTGCTGCCTACGCAGAGAAGCACTCAAAATGCCTTGTACCGCTCTGCGAAACTTCAAATTGCTCAAAACCACAATGAAACTCGCATCATTGCATATTTGCTTTGTTGTGTGAGAGAGGAGGCCTGTGGGGTGTAGGTCAAACGAAGCAGAGTCGCAAGTCAAGGAATAATCTGGAGGAGAACAAACGAACCTTGCAGTGCAGCAGTGGAGCAACAGTTTTCTAGGGTGTATTTTCCTTCTCTCCCCAGCATCAACGAAGTTTCTGTTACAGGCGGCGCACGTGGGACCATGTGCTGACTGACTGACTTTGCCTGATCATTCTAGCAGGGAATATAGCCCGTTGCTGCTCAGCTGACAATGTGACCAGAGCAGAGCTTTGTGCACACTAACTGTCCAGCAATGATAGGACTTCGCATGACGTGTTGATTGAGTTTTGGCTGTGATAAGTGCTCTTGAGGCGAGTCGCTTTTTCACGTAATCGGACTATGGCACACAACAGCTGGGAAGCCGACAAAATGTACGTTTTCCAGACCCTAGGTTCTACCCCAAGGTCTTGAGCAAAGCATTTGTTATTCCCTCAGGAGCGTTTCCCCGGCCGTGTCATGAATATAGTACGTGCGCAACGTTGCGAACGCCGGTTTTCGAGGCGCTATAGATATCATAGAGCCACTCGCATTGGAGTTGATGTCATCATGTCCGCAACATTTTAAAGGCGTTCGATGAAGCCTTATCCTGAAGCCAACAGTCTCCCTTCTCCTCTTCGTTGCGATTGCATGTCTTCTGAAGATTATGCCTCGTTGTCCTTTTTTTTCCCGCATTTTCTTCGCTTTCTTATTTTCTCGATCCCTCATGAGCCGGCATCAAACGCTTTCCCATTATCTCAGTGTATCTAGGGCGGCTGCAAACGTGACCAACCAAGGTCTTCATTTTCCTGCGTCTTTCATTCGCTAATTCTGGTTACCCGGTTATTGCTTCCAGGCTGGATGTGTACATTTACGACTACCTGTGCAAGCGAGGCTTGCCGAAATCCGCGGAAACTTTTCTCGCTGAGGCGAAAGTCTCGTCAGACCCCGTCGGTACGGTTCCGCCTCTGCTCTCTCTTCATCGTTCCTCATGGTCATACCGATTTCTTTCTAAAGAGTTGTTGTTGTTTTTTTTTTTTTTTTTGCTATATCCTGCATTGTTCTCTCCGCAAATTTGATCAACTCTTTGGTGGGTGTTTGCAGCCATAAATGCTCCTGGAGGGTTCCTTTTCGAGTGGTGGTCGGTATTCTGGGACATATTTATCGCACGGACCAATGAGAAGCATTCCGAAGTCGCGGCTTCCTATATCGAGGTATCCCTATCACCAAGTCAAACTAGCAGAGATTCTGCAGAGTCCCCCTCTACTGCTATGACCCGTTTCTGCTGTCAACATGAGATTTTATTTCTCGCTTTCTTTCTGTCTTTCGCATGTCCATGCTTCCAGACTCAGCAGATCAAGGCGAGGGAACTGCAGCGGCAGCAGAGGGCCCAGCAGAGGCAGCAGCTGAAGCAAGAGCTAGGTGGTCCCATCCAGCCACCCCCACACCAGGCAACCCAGCAGGTCGTGACCCCGCAACAGCTGAACCAGCAACCGCAGCAGCAGCAGGGGAGAGAGGACCCAATGCAGCAGGATGAGCAACAATTGCCCGTGCTTCCTGGAATGCAACAGCAGCAGCAGCAAGCACAGAGCCTTCACCAGCAGCAGCAGCAGCAGCAGCAGCAGCAGCAGCAGTCGCAAATGCAGCCCCCCTCACAGCAGCCGCAGCAGCAAGCAGCGTCGCAGCCAACCCCCCCGCCACCGCCACCACAACCCGCAAACCCCTCCCAGCAGCAGCAGCAACAGCTGCAGCAGCTACAATTACAGCAACTTCAAATGCAGCTACAGCAACGGCAGCTGCAGCAGCAGCGGCGGGAGGCGGGGCAGCTGGCAGGGCTGGGGGGGAACGGAGCGGCGAACGGCGTTGCGGGAGGTGTAGCAGGGGAGGCGGGGTTGAGGCAGGCGGCGAGTGGCGTGCTGGCGAGTCGGCTGTATGAGGAGCGGCTGAAGCAGGCGCAGTTGGCCAGGGCGGAGAGCGGGGCGAGCATGGACGAGGCGGCTCTCAGGGTGAGTAGAATAGCCATAGGTGTGCGAGGTTTGTGATTTTCAGGTTTTGAAGGGTGCATTCGGAAAGGGTGCGTAGGGGAATGTTGCGTTTCGTTAATTAACACACTCTCATGCCCTCCTCACGGGTTTCCCACACCTGCTCCTCCCTCTATCTGCCACTTACGACGGACGTGTGTGTGTCTGTGCCGTGTTTGTGTGGCATGTGTGCATGGCATGCATGTACGGCTCATGCTGGATTCACCACCGACAATCTCTTATAATGAGCAGAGGTAAGCTCTCCCTTTCTCCTCTCCCTCTTTCCTTTTGCCGTCCACGTCCTTTCACACTTCAACCAATCACTCATCACACCACCCGCGCTTCCATTAAGCTTCCGCTCCCTTCACTTCACCACCACCCCTTGCTTCCGCCTCCGGCACCTGTCATAGACTCGTCACTCAACTTCTCCTCCTCTTTCCTTGACACGTCCGCCCCTCTGCTCTTGTCTTGCCTCGTCAGGCACCTTGCGTCCGTTGGCAATGCGGCAGGCATGTCCCAGCAGTCCCTGCAGCAACAGCACTTGCAGCAGCAGCAGCAGCAGCAGCAACAGCAGCAGAACCAGCAGCAAAGTCAGCAGCAGCAGCAGCCAGCGCAGTCACAGTCCCAGTCCCAGGGGCTGCCGCAGCTGCCTCTGCAGCAGCTGCAGCAGCAGCTGCAACAACTGCAGCAGCAGCACCAGATGCAGGAGCACGAGCAGCAGCAGCAACAACAGCAACAGCAACAGCAACAGCAGTTGCAGCAGCAGCAACAACAGCAACAACAGCAGCAGCAAATGATGCCCCCAGCTGGAGCTGCATCCCCTAGTGTTAGCCAGGTGATCCCCATCCCCACTTCCCGTACCTCTCCCTCCTCCGTTAATCCTTCTTTCCTTTTGTTCGCGCTATCCCTTTTTCACCAGTCTCTTCCCCTTCCCCTGCTCCTACATCGCGTCTGCCGCATACCAAGGAGGAGTCGTAGGTGGTTGGTATCCTTTGTCGTCCAGGTGACTTGTGTGCGAGCAGGAGAGCAAGGTAGATGTGCATGTGGTCATGTCAGGGTGGGCAGCTGTTGTTGTTCTAATCCAATTTCCTCGTCTTGTTTCTATCTATTGTATAACTAACTTGTCCGCTGTCCCCCGTGCGAGCAGGAGAGCAAGGCGGACGTGCATGCAGTCATGTCGGGGCGGGCAGGATCGGCCATATCTGACAATGCACTCGCGTCCATGGCACAAGGTGGGTCCCTCCCACTTTATTGTTGGATTTGGTTCCATACAAGTCGATGTCCATTGAGGATTTCTCCCTTTTTTTGCAGCCCCATTTTTCTCTCGCTCGCAATACACGCAGTCTTTCCTCTCTTCCACTCTTTCCTCTCTCCCTCTTTCTCCCCTCTCCCTCTCTCCATCGAATTTACCCTTCCCTGCACACCCCCTCCCCTTCCCCCCTCACCTCCCTCCGCTGCCCCTCGCCCCACCCCTGAATTCGTACACGCCAGGCATATCATCAGCTGCAAGGTCGGCTCAGCTGCAGCAAGTGAAGGGGAACTGGCCCATCAGGCATATCATCGGCTTTCCCTTTCCTTCCCCTCCCTTCTTCCCCACTCACCGTCCCCATTCCCCCTGGTTCTGTATGCCGCAGGCATATCATCAGCTGCCAGGTCCGCTCAGCTGCAGCAGATGAAGGGCAACTGGCCCGCAGGCCTTTCGGTAAGCCCCCACCCCAAACCAGATGCTCTCACCTATACCATGCCTCAGATCGCACGTCTGTTCAACTCGCCCCAGTACCAGATGCTGTCGCCCATACAGCAGCAGCACCTGCTTCAGCAGCAGGCGCAGATTCAACCCCCTCCCACTAATCCTCTTCCCTTCACCTAATCCTCGTGACATGCCCCTCCCCACCACCATGCCTCAGATCGCACGTCTGTTCAACTCGCCCCAGTACCAGATGCTCTCGCCAAATACAGCAGCAGCACCTGCTTCAGCAGCAGGCACAGATGCAAAATCGTCTCACTAGTCCTCTTACCTTGGCGTATACCCCCTTCCCCTCCCCACCACCATGCCTCAGATCGCACGTCTGTTCAACTCGCCCCAGTACCAGATGCTCTCTCCCATACAGCAGCAGCACCTGCTGCAGCAGGCACAGGCACAGGGCCTCATCACCAGCGCAGGCGCGCTAGCAGGGCTAGCAGGCGCAGGGGGAGGCGCAGGGGGCGCAGCAGGGGGAGCAGCAGGGGCGGGGGCTGCAGGGGGAATGCAAGGGGGAGGGGGAGCGGGAGCTGGGGCGGCGAGCGGTGGGGCGGGTTTGGGCGGCAATCTGCCAGGGCGGGCGGCAGGAGGGACGTCCCTAGTGGGATTCGGGGCGGGTATGGCAACAGAAATGGAAAATCGGCAGCTGAGGCAGCTACTGAGTAAGGGGGTAGCTGGGAACCCTGCTGCTGCAGCTGCGATGGCAGCAGCGGCAGCAGCGGGGGCGGGGGGGAAGGGAGGAGGGGAGGAGGGGGGTGGGTCGCCCAGTGTGGGGTCGCCTGCTGGCATGCTGCCGTCCGGTGCTGCTGCTGCTGTGGCAGCCGCTGCTGCTCTCAGTCGAGGGGCGTCGCCTCAGGAGCAGCAGGAGATGATTCTCAAGGTGAGCAGAGGGGGTGTGCACTGAGGCTGCACAGCACTCTCACCAAAAGGACGTCTGAGGCCGCATTTAGTCCTGACCAGGGGGGGGTGCAGAGAGGTTTGAGACGTTTCAAATCGGTGTCGCCTTAGGAGCAGCAGGAGGTGGTTCTGAGAGGAGATTTCTTCTCGTTCCTCTGTTGATCATCGTATTCCTTTCCACTTTTATGTCACCCTGTCTGCTGTGCTGTTGCTTTCCTCCTCAGCTGCAATGCAAGCTCAACGAGTGCGGGCCATGGGCGCACAGGAGACCGTGGGGGGCCTGATTGACGCTCAGCACTTGATTTCTCCTTTCTTGTGCTCATTGAAACTCCTCCATTTCACTTGTGTGTCGCCCTGCTTGCTGTGTTCTTGTCAGCTGCAAGCTCAACGAGCGCGGGCCATGGGTGCACAGGGCGCCATGGGGGGCCTGATGGGCGTTCAGGTGAAGCAGGAGCAGCTGCTGCTGCTGCAGCAACATCAGCAGCTGCTACTGCAGCAGCAGCAGCAGCAGCAGCAGCAGCAGCAACAGCAACAGCAGCAGCAGCAACAGCAACAACAGCAACAGCAGCAGCAGCAGGTGATGGGGGCGCCTGGGCAGCACATGCAGCAGGAGGGGCATCAGGGGGGGATGGGACGGCAGGGCAGCATAGGCGGACCAGCGAGAGCAGCAGGGCAGCAGCAGCAGGGGCAGGGACAGGGACAGGGACAGGGACAGGGACAGGGACAGGGGCAGGGGCAGGGGGGACAGGGAGGGGCACAGGGGGGGATGCAGGGGCAGCAAGAGCAGCAGCAGCAGCAGATGGGTGTGCCTGGTTCTGCTGGTGGCGGTGGTGGTGGTGGATGGGGGGGAGGTGGGGGTGGTAATGGCGGAAGTGGAGGGGGCGGAGGGGGTGGTGGCGGAGGAGGGGCAGGGGAGCAGAGCTCACTGAGTGGCATGGAGCCCGCACCCAGCATCACCAGCACAGGCACTGTCACCAAGGTAGTTAGTCACTTCGGGGTTTTCTCATAATTTCGGGCCGAATCTGCGTTGCAGCGGCATGGTGCTTTCTTTCTGTATTTGCCTTGTTGGTTTACCTTAGGTGGTACAATCTCACCTTTTACCCCCCCCCCCCCCCTCACTCCCCCCTTTATCTTTTCAAGGACCGGACCCCTTCATCCTCCCTTTTTGTTGGTTTACCTAATGTGGTACTCTCTCACCTTTCAACCCCCTCCCCCCTCCCCCCTCCCCCCTCCCCCCCTTTTTTTTCCCTTGAATGCGTCCCTGCTCTGCTCTGTTGCGTGTCGTCCTGCTGACAATCTGCTATCTTCTGACAATCTGCTATCTTCTGACAATCTGCTATCTTCTGACAATCTGCTATCTTCTGACAATCTGCTATCTTCTGACAATCTGCTATCTTCTGACAATCTGCTATCTTCTGACAATCTGCTATCTTCTGACAATCTGCTATCTTCTGACAATCTTTCAATCACTCCCCTCCCCTCCCCTCCCCTCCCCTCCCCTCTCCTCTCGCCTGCAACCCGTGTGGCAAGCAGAGGGGCCAGGGGGGAAGGTTGGGGCGAAAGAGGAAGCAGCCCGGTTCATCAGGCCCTGCCACCAGCAACGGCACCCCTGCCACTGCTGCTGCCGCTGCCACTGCCGCTGCCACTGCCGCTGCTACTGCTGCTGCCACTGCTGCTGGTGGTGGTGCTGGGACTCCTGGTGGTGGTGGTGGTACTGCTGGTGATGGGACTGCTGGTACCGCTGCTGGCACTGCTGCTGGTGGCGCTGCTGGTGCTGGTGCTGGTGCTGGTGCTGGTGCTGCTGGTGCGGATGGGGGAGCTGCAGGAGGGGCTGTGAAGCCTGAGCCTCACCCGCAGACACAGGCAGAGCAGCAGCAGCAGCAGCAGCAAGCCACGGCCGAGCAGCAGAAGCAGCAGGAGGAGCAACACCAACACCAGCAGCAGCATCAACACCAGCAGCAGAGCCCCCAGCTAGGATCCTCCCTCCCCCAGATGCTACCTCCCCCACTCGTCCCCCCTCTCCCGACCAGCTTTGGCATGGAAGGGACGCTCTCAGGGGAGCCGTCCCCAGGGAACCAACTGGTGGAGTTGGAGCGGTTTGGGGTGGGGGACGATGGGTCGCTGGACGACAATGTGGACTCGTTCCTGTCCACTGATGATGGGGATGGCCGCGAGCCGCTGTTCTGCACCGGCAAGCGCAGCAGCATGGGCAGCATGGACGGGAAAGGTGAGCAGGGGGGGAGAGGAGGGGCCATGGGAAAGGGCGGAGGGGCAGGGGAGGGGGGATGTAGGGAAATGGGGAGTGTTCACCAGGCACGCTGTTCTGCATGGGAAAACGCAGCAGCATGGGGAGGGGGAGGGGGAGGGGGAGGGGAGGGGGGGGATGTAGGGGAGAGTATGGATGTAGGGATGTGCCTGAGAGGCAGCTCCACCAAGGTCATGTGCTGCCTCTTGCTCAAGTCTACCATCAAGTCGCAGATGGTGTTTTGAGACTGGATTGGGGGGTTGGGGGTTGAGGGGGCGTCTCAAATCATAAGGAGGAGGGTGGGGGCGTGGATTACATTACACCCCCCCCCACTGTACCCCCTCCACTCCCCCTCCACTCCCCTCTCCTTCCCCGAGGTTTCTCCTTCACGGAGTACGGGTACCTGCGAGGTAGCTCCACCAAGGTTGTGTGCTTTGCTGTGCCTTAGACCAAGTCTGCTTTCCAATCCCCTCTGTCCTCCCTCCTGCACGCCCTGTTCTGGCGTTCTTCTTCTTGCAGGTTTCTCCTTCACGGAGTATGGGTGTCTGAGGGCCAGCTCCACCAAGGTCGTGTGCTGCCACTTCTCCCAGGATGGCAAGCTGCTCGCCAGTGCTGGGCATGATAAGACGGTGAGTGCGTAGTGCATTGCAGATGAGGACAGTGGATGCCGGCCACGGTGATGACAGTCATTGTCAACGCACTTACGCACTTCCGCACACCACCCACCGCACCCCTCCCTACCCCACCACTCCCCTCCTCTCTGCCTCACCCCTTCCATTCCACCCCCCTTCAACTCCAGGCAGTGCTGTGGGAGATGGATTCCCTCTCAATGCACGCCACCCTGGAGGGCCACTCGCTGCCCATCACCCTCTCCTCCCCCCTCTTTTCCCTCCCCCCTTCTGCCTTTCCCCCCCACCAGGCTGTGCTGTGGGAGATGGATTCGCTCTCAATGCGGGCAACCCTGGAGGGCCACTCGCTGCTCATCACCGACGTGCGGTTCAGCCCCAGCCTGCCACGTGTCGCCACGTCATCGTTTGACAAGACTGTGCGCGTGTGGGACATTGACAATGTAAGTCGCCATAGTAGGTACCAGGCACTCTCTGGTCGGTTCAGAAAGGTAGGGAGTGGGCATAGAGGCATGGCACAGAGGCATGGCACAGAGGCATGGGCGCCTAGGCAGGGGATGTATTTACGTTCATCACTTGTGTTGCTCGTTCTGGATTCCCGAATTCTAATTCACGTCTCTCCCTCTTCTCCCGTCTCCCCCCCTCACCCCGAACCCCCCTTCCGCCATTGCTGCAGCCGGCCTTCCCCCTGCGCACGCTAGCGGGTCACATGACATCTGTGGTCTCGTTGGACTTCCACCCCGAGGACGAGGACCTTCTGTGCTCCTGCGACGCTGACGGGGAGATTCGCTACTGGAGTGTCAATCAGGAGATGTGCACCCGGGTGTTCAAGGTGAGGCGCTTTTCGAAGTACAGGGTTCATTCAAGGTGAGGCGCTTTTCGAAGTAGAGGGTTCATTCAAGGTGAGGCGCTTTTCGAAGTAGAGGGTTCATTCAAGGTGAGGCGCTTTTCGAAGTAGAGGGTTCAATCAAGGTGAGGCGCTTTTCGAAGTAGAGGGTTCATTCAAGGTGAGGCGCTTTTCGAAGTAGAGGGTTCATTCAAGGTGAGGCGCTTTTCGAAGTAGAGGGTTCATTCAAGGTGAGGCGCTTTTCGAAGTAGAGGGTTCAATCAAGGTGAGGCGCTTTTCGAAGTAGAGGGTTCATTCAAGGTGAGGCGCTTTTCGAAGTAGAGGGTTCATTCAAGGTGAGGCGCTTTTCGAAGTAGAGGGTTCATTCAAGGTGAGGCGCTTTTCGAAGTAGAGGGTTCATTCAAGGTGAGGCGCTTTTCGAAGTAGAGGGTTCATTCAAGGTGAGGCGCTTTTCGAAGTAGAGGGTTCATTCAAGGTGAGGCGCTTTTCGAATTAGAGGGTTCATTCAAGGTGAGGTGCAGTTTTGGATCAACTGCTCTTGTGTTGACCCAGACGAATCGCTATTGGATTCTTGAGTCAGACTCAAAAATCGTCTCTTGAGACTGCGTCTCCTGTTCCTTCACCAGACCAGGGCTACACCACACAGGTGCCCTTTCAGCCGCGCATGGGGCGACTGCTGGCAGCAGCGGCGGCTCATTGCATGTTCACATGCCTGTCCGCCCCTCCCCTCTTCCTCTCCCCACTCTCCCTACCCCCTAATCTCCACCTCCTCATCCACCTCCCCTCTCCCCCCATCCTCCTCTTCCCCCCCACCACCAGGGCGCTACCACGCAGGTGCGCTTTCAGCCGCGCATGGGGCGGCTACTGGCAGCAGCGGCTGAGTCGGTAGTCTCGATATTCGACGTCGAGACAGAGGCCTGCCTGCGCACGCTCGAGGTAAGAAGCAAACCCTCCCCCCCCCCCCCCCTCCTTCCCCCACACACACAAGGGTTGTTCTGTTGCTCTTTTCCTTTCTTTTCAGTTGGAGATGCTTGCTCCCCCTTGCCCTCCATATCTCCTCCTCCCCGACCTCCCTTCCGCCCCTCCTTCCACCTCTTTTCCCTCTTCCCCAACCCCCCTCGCACCACCAGCAACGGCACAGCAAACCAGTGCACTCGGTCTGTTGGGACGCCACAGGCGAGTTCATAGCCTCGGTCTCAGAGGACGCAGTGCGAGTGTATGCGCTGGGGCCGGGCAACGGGGGCGAGTGTGTGCATGAGCTGGTCAGCAGTGGCAACAAGTTTCACTCATGCACCTTCCACCCCAAGTACCCCTCGCTGCTCGTCATCGGCTGCTATCAGGTAAGTCGGCGGGGGGCAGCAGGCTGTGTGGGTGGGGTGGTGTTTGCTGAGGTGTGTGTAACAGAGGGCCAACCAGCCAATGTATAAGCAGCCTTTGACTTATCCGCCCACCCTTCCGTTTCCAAATCCTCCACCTCATCTTCTTCTCCCTTCCCTCCCACCCTTCCCCCCCCCACTCCCTTTTCCCCCCTCTGGTCTTTGGAGCTATGGAGCATGGTGGAGAACAAGAGCATGATCATGCAAGGGAGGCCTAGCACATGCATAGTCAGCCTTTGACTGTCACCCTTCCTTTTTTTACCCCCCACCTCATCCCCTCCTTCCCCTGGCCCCTCGCTTTTCCGCCAGTCATTGGAGCTATGGAACATGGTGGAGAACAAGAGCATGATCGTGCAAGGGGCACATGACGGGCTTATCGCTGCACTTGCGCATTCGCAGGCACGTGGGCTCGTTGCGTCGGCGAGCCATGACAAATGTGTGAAATTGTGGCAATAGCACTCGCGAGTGCAACTCTAGCTTAGGCATCTCATGCCATATATCATGGCGTGAGCAGCAGAAAGCGTTTTGTTTTTGCCTGAATTAACATGGAAATGCTTAGTAATTGGTTGATCTTACTAATTTAGATATTAGAAATGTGATATTTCAGTTGTCAGTCTATTAGTACACTATAACGCCTCGTGTTCGAGATGCAAACGCGTATATTCTGGCCTTGGAAATGTCCATTTCGAATTCTCAGCACCTTGGACCACCCCAATTTCAAGTTCGAGTTTTTGGCGGGAAAGTCTGACCTCGAGATCTTACAGCCTGTCCCCAACCACACCACCACTCGTACATACCGTAGTTTTCTGTCATCGTCTTGGCTGGCTGGACCAGAAACTTAAAACCAGGGTGCACATTCAACGCGGTTCGGCTTGAGATGTTGGGAAGGGGGTTTGGAGAAAAACAGTGATTGGCTCACGAGGGGCGACAAAAAAATGATTCCGCTAGAGCTTCGGGCATTTCGTAGGTGGCGGGAGGGGGTGAAATGGCGGGAGTGGGTGAAACCGAATGGCGGGAGGGATGAAACAGATTGGCGGGAGGGGGGGGAAACGAAATTGCGGGGGAGGGGGGAAACAAAATTGCGGGGGAGGGGGGAAACGAATTTCGACGGGGAGGGGGAAATGAAATTGCGGGGGCGTGGGGAAACGAAATTGCGGGGGAGGGGGGAAACGAATTTCGACTTGAAGGGGTTGAAAGCACACCTCGTAACCCACTCAGTCAAGGGATAACCTTTGATGCACATTCAGCTGAATGTGCACCCCGGTTTTAAGACCATAACTCAAGGCCCCGCGACGACGAATTTCACGCGCACTTCACTGGAAACGTCTAACTTCGACGGTTTCCTCTTCTCGGTTTCTCGTTCCGGTTTCTTCTCCTGCCATGGATCCGCCTCCCGCTCAGCCGACCGATGCGAGCTCTGAGTTCAAGCAACCTGCTCCTAAGAAGGCGACAGGAATTCAAGGTAAAATGCGAACGCACTCATGTAGGCAACGTACCGATGAGTCGAGTCGTTTTTTTTCGCGATATTGAAAGGCAAGAGCGTCGTGGCAAATTCCCTCCGTTTATCTGGATTGGCCCTTGACTTGAATCAAGAATCACTTCATTTTTTGGCTTCATATGAAATGGACACAGGCATTCATGAATCTAAGATTTCACACTCAAATCTCAGTATGACGCACACTCATGACTTTTCCCTTCTCTTCATTTTCTCCCGCATTTTTTCGTTCTAGTTACAGTCCAGTCTCGTTTCATGCAAACACCTGCTCAGTCCTCAGCCTCCCGTCACGAAGGCTCCATGATCCCGACTCCTGGTGTGCGCGCATCAATGCACGCGCCATCAACCGCCGCGAAAAGCGCCGTCAGAGGCGGCGCCAGCAGCGTTACAGGCCGAGTTTCCGCAACTCCCCGCGCGAGCCTCACCCCCGCGCAAGCCTCCGCGGGATCCCGCGCGGGAGCCAGCAGAGGCGGCGGATCTACCACGGGGCTCGCGAGCAGAACCAGCGCTGGCGGAAGAGGCGCATCCGGGACAGGCGGAGCAGGCGGAGCGGGCGGAGCAAGTTTCCGCGCGGCCCCCAATGCGGCGAAAGGCGTTTCGCAGGCAGTGGGGAGGGGGAGATTCGAAGGGCCTCATTATCAAACTCCCATGGGGAGAGGGCGAGGGGGGAATGCAGCGGCGCAGTACCAGACTCCTCATGGTGGAGGTGGAGGAGGGATCAAGGGACGCCTTTTCCAGACTCCAATGACTGGAAGGGGGGAAGGGGAAATGGGTACTGGCGGGAGGGAGGGGAGAGTGACGATGGTGGTGGGGGGACGAGGAGACGGAGGAGGGGAGAGAGCAGGTGGTAGGGGAGGTGGTGGGGGAGGTGCTTGGGGAGTTAACCCTGAAAACCGAAACTTGACTCTTGTGCCGTCAGGCGAGGCTCTGGAAGGTGGTGAGGTGGCAGAAGGGACGGCCGCCGTGTCAGCAGCGCGGGATGCTGATGTGGCAGGAACGGCTGGTGGCGAGGATGAGTTGGTAGGAGAGAGGGAAGGGCACGCGCATGGGGCGGAAGGGGCTATCACAAGCGGTGACAGGGGGGAGGAGGAAGGGGCTACCACAAGCAATGGCCGGGGGGAGGAGGAAGAGGGTGTCAGTTTTGTCCTGGGGATGCAGGAAGCGGGTACCAGCGATGACAGGGCGGAGCAGGAAGGAGGGACCAGCGTTGACCAGGGGGGGCTGGAAGAGGTTGCTGTTGCTGGTGGAGTGCTGGGGCTCCAGTTGGCTCATGCGGCTGGCGAACACAAACAGGCGGAAGGGGTGCAGGTGGAAGGTCAGCAGGCGGGCGGGGAGCAGGCGGAAGAAGGGCAGTTGGAGTGGGAGCAGGCGGAAGAGCTGGCGGAAGGAGAGCATGCAGAAGGGGGGCAGGCGGAGGGGGAGCAGGTGGAGGGGGAGCAGGCGGAGGGGGAGCAGGCGGAAGGGTCAAGAAGCTCTGTGAGTAGTGACAGCAGTGGTCTTGCTGCGTTGTTGGAATCAGCTGGAGCAGCTGGAGCTCCTGGTGCTGGTGGTGGTTTTACTGCTGATGTTGCTGGTGCTGCTTCCGATATACAAGATGCTTCTCGCCGTGGGGATGTTGGCGCTACTGCTGGCGCTTCACGTGTTTCAGCAAGTTTGGATGGTGCGGAGTTGGAATGGAGCAACAGCGTTGGCAGTGGCAGCAGCATCACCAGTGGCAGCAGCAGCAGGCAGGGCAACAACAGCAGCCGTGGCAACGGCAGCAGGAGCGCGCATAGAGAGAATGAGTTAAGCCAGCCTGCATTAGCACCAGAGACAGCTGGGCTCGATCTTAGTAGGACAGAAGGCTCGGCACGGAGTCACACAGGCTCGGCACATAGCAATGCAGGCTTGGCACTTAGCAACATTGGCTCGGTGTACAGCGGCGTAGGCTCGGTGCACAGCAACTCAGGCTCGGTGCACGGCCATGGGGATCTGGATCTGGTAGCCTCGGGTTCTGTAGGTTCGGAAAGTAGTGAAAGGGGTGAGAGAGGCGAGAGGGGCGAGGAGGAGGGGATGGTGCCGGCAGTGGCAGCAGTACTGGAAGAGCTTTCGGGCCTCCCGTGGTCGACTCAAGCAGCAATTGTGAGGAACAGGGAGTTGCAGGTGCAGGCAATGCTGGTGCTGCAAGAAGAGGCTGCTGAGGAGAGAAACCGAGAGAACATGGTGAGTGCGTGGGAGGGATGGAGGGAATGTTGTGAGGCTACTCAAAACGGAACAGGGAGTTGCAGGTGCAGGCGATGTGGTGCCAGCGGAGGAGAGGAACAGGCATAGCATGGTGAGTGAGGGGAGAGGGAGGAGGAGATGCACAGGCAGAGCATGACGATTGGGGGGTAGGAAGTCTTTTGTGCCGGTTCATAACGGTTCATAACGGTTCATAACAGAAGGTTATGCTGGTGAGGTGCAGGTGATGCTGATTCCGCAGAATAAGGCGGTGGAGAGAAACAGGAAAAGCACAGTGAGTGCAAGGGAGGTAGGGGGGCAAGATGAGTAAGTTGAAGGGCAGAGCAAGGGAGGTGCGTGATCCTGAGGGGTAGGGAGAAAGTAAGATGAACTCCCCCTTCTCCTCCCCTCTTCCCCCCTCCCCTCTCCCCCCTCCCCTCTCCCCGCACCCCCAGGCGGCCCTGGCAGCAGCAGCCCTACGAGGGGTTGGTTTCCTCCGGGGATCTCCTTAAAGCCCAAAAAAAAAAAAAAAAAAAAAAAACCTGGCAGCAGCAGCAAGCTACTGTTCGCGCCTGCAGCGGCAGCGATGCGAGCTGCAGGGGCAGCAGCAGCGGAGGCAGATCCGCCATCGAGTGCAGCGGCTGCTAAATGAGGAAGGCGTGGGGCCGCTGCTACAGCAGGAGCAGCAGCAGCATCGTCTTACCAGAACGCATTCTCCCCGCTCCCTCCTCCCCTCTCCCTTCTCTCCCCCACCTCTCCCTCTTCCCCAATCCCCTTGCCTCTCCCCTCTACCCCTCACCCACCCCTCCCCACACCTCCCCACCACTCCAGGCGGCCCTAGCAGCAGCAGCAAGCTACTGCTATCACCTCCAGAGGCGGCTGTCTGAGCAGCAGGGGCAGCAGCAGCGGCAGCAGATCCACCAGCGGGCGCGGCAGCTGCTGAGTGAGGAGGGCGTGGGGCCGCTGCTGCAGCAAGAGGAGCAGCAGCGCAGGGACCACAGGCTGGCGCTAAGGAGCATCATCCAGGCGCTGTCTGACTTGCTGGTGAAACTGCTCATTCACCCCTCCAGCACGGTGAGTCAGTGTCAGTGGTGGATGGCAGCTTGTGAGACCACTTTTCTTTGCTGTTGCTGCAGCAGGAGCAGCAGCAGGAGCAGCAGGAGCAGCAGCTGCCACAGGCTGGCGTTAAGGAGCATCATCCAGGCGCTGTCTGACTCGCTGGTGAAACTGCCCATCCACCCCTCCAGCACGGTGGGTTATCATGTCTGGGAACATATTCAGGGAATCCCAATGCATGCACATCCACCCCTCCAGCACGGTGGGTAATCACTGACAGTAAACACATCACACATCACACATCACACATCACACATCTCACATCACACATCACACATCACACATCACACATCACACATCACACATCACACATCTCACATCTCACATCACAGGTGAATGCAGCGCGGTTCAAGGAGCAGCTCGACGGCCTGCACGAACTGCTCACAGCCATGCGGCCTTGTGCTCGCAGACCCCATACCCCATTTTCCATGTGTCATACCCCATTTTCCATGTGTCATACCCCATTTTCCATGTGTCATACCCCATTTTCCATGTGTCATACCCCATTTTCCATGTGTCATACCCCATTTTCCATGTGTCATACCCCATTTTCCATGTGTCATACCCCATTTTCCATGTGTCATACCCCATTTTCCATGTGTCATACCCCATTTTCCATGTGTCATACCCCATGTCCTATATCCCATGTTGCATCGCACATCACAGGTGAATGCGGCGCAGCTCAAGGAGCAGCTAGAGGGCCTGCATGACCTGCTCACAGCCATGCAGCCCTGTGCTGACGACCTCTCCCAGGTACCATGCCGTACATCCAATTAATCGTTCTCCACTGGTTTCTTATGAGTCGTTTCCCGTGCGACGTGCACCATTTTTCAGAGGTAATTTCCCCCGGTACCCTGCCTGGGATACCCTGCCGGGATACCCTACCTGGGGTATTCTTGCCTCAAACATCCATGGCCGATTATCATGCCCAGTGCTGCTCCTTGCCCTCTATCCCCTCCCTCGCCTGCTTCCCCGCTCGCCCCTCCCCCGCCCACGCCATTAGGTGCCTGGGGTGGCGTGCCTTGCCTCATCCATAGCCGACCATCTCACATCTACCAAGGTGGCTCTCGACGCTGCATGTGCCAACAGCGACCGCCTTGCTGATGCTGCTGTGAGTGTCTATCAAGGGGTGGCGTGCTGGTATAGTGCCTCGTATCATCCATAGCTGACCGTCTCACATCTACCAAGGCGGTTCTCGATGCTGCATGTGCCAACAGTGACCGCCTTGCTGATGCATCTGTGAGTTGCTATCAGGGTTGAGCTCGAGCCAATCACAGTCAGCTTTAGCAGCAATCGCATGCACCTTACATGTACTGCTTCGTGTCGAATTCGCCGCGTGAGCTTGTTTCTTCTCCCTTGTCTTCACCCTCTGCAGTTGAAGGAGCAGACCAAGGGTTTCCAGCTGCAGCAGCTCGCAGACCTCTCGCGACCTGGGCTGTGATTCCTAAGCTGCCGAACATGGAGAGCACCACACCTTTTTTAGATGTTCAATTGTACATATTACACCACATTTTTCTGCTATATTTCACCACCAAAATTGAGGTAACTAATGAATATACCAAAACAAGGGTTCAGATTGGAGCACAGGATGTATTGAGTGTTGTGTTATTATATAAAAATACCATTTAGGCTAGCAGTTTCTGCACTCATAATCCCAGGTTACAATCGGGGATGGAAGTGGAATTGGGCTGGAACATAGGGCAAAGATCAAATAGGGGCCGGAAAATAGCACGGGGGTGTCCAAATTAGGGCCGGGTAAATCCCAACCGTTCGATACATCAACGGAGCTGCCCATGTGGCTGGGCCAATAACCCGAACCGAAATTTTGAGGAGATTACTAGAACAGCGACGTTGTTGATTCAATGTTTTTATCAAACGAAGCTCGCGTCGTCTTCCTCTCGGGGTATGTTTCATCGTGTATATACTATTGCGACACATCCCTCCACCTGACCTGAAAATTAAAACCCCCTTGGAAATGGATGCGACTCGGGGATGCATCAACCCTAAACGACCGGCGGGTTCCCGTTTTAGGGTTGATCCCTCCAAAACATGCGTCCAGGTTCGCGAAGGGATTTAGTTTTGTTTCCCCTACCCTAACAGTTCCCGGTAGCGTCGTCTAGTGCCCGGTGGCGCTAGCGACGTAAAGTTTCCTCTCAATCAGTCACGACGCGTCAGGACCTCTGACAAATAAAATAAATAACGCGATTCTGAGAAATTTGTTATTAACTCTAAACGACTTGGCTGGGTTACCCGGCCCTAATTCGGACACCCCCGTGCTATTTTTCGGCCCCTATTTGATCTTTGCCCCTCGAACAAAACAGGCATTTTCCGGTTGAGTATCCCCTAGTTTGCACGATTCGCCCCTCCTGGATGTTGGTTTGGGCCGGCGAACGTGATTCGTTGGAATATTCGACAAGCGAACCAAGTTGGTGCGACGAGCGAACATCGTCGATTTCAGCCCGCCCATTCTCTGAAAATGCTGGATGCGTCTTGCCCAAGTTCGTTAGGCAAGGGGGATCCTGCCAGGTGGACATTTATGCTGGGTCGTGGGGGATGTTTGATCATTATTGACCGTCGATGAAATTTCATTAGTTGTCATTACGCGGTGCCAGGAGCCGCCACGTCAGCTATGGTGAGCACTTGCCATCCATGCGAAACTCGATTCCGTTCGATACAAGAAAACTGAAGTTTATTCTTAGCACCTATCCTGATCCCTTGTTCTGAAATTATTCTTACTTTTCGTATCCCCTGAAACTTGTCGACCATCACTCTCGTCCACTCACAGTCTGCAATTGGTGATACTATCGGCGGAAGTGTTTCAGGAACAGTCTGGTACACCAACCAGCAAGTTTTTCCGTCACCGAACAGACAGCAGGCAGGTAGTATAAGGAGGAGGACCAAGGTTTGAACAGGATTACTTTCCCCAGGGTTTCACACAATTCTTTTTCCCCTTTGCCTTTCATGCACCCAAGTAGAGCCTGTGTTGTGGAGCTGTTGATGGAGGAAAGGTCCGGCTCGCCTGCTAGGTTTCGGATAGGATACGCTCTCGTGCAGAAGAAAATCAACAGCTTTCTGCAGGAGAAGCTTCAGAGGGAGTCTATTAGGAAAGGTATCGAGCTGGTAAAAATAGATCTGTCGAAACCGCTAGCAGAGCAAGGACCTTTTGACGCCATTCTTCACAAGATTCCATCGCAACAGTGGTATGAGGAGTTGGAGGAGTATCAACTGAGCAGACCAGATGTGCTTGTCATTGACCCACCAGAAGCCATCGCGCGGTTATACAATCGTATTTCCATGCTTCAGGCTGTCGACGACAAACTGCAATACGAGTGTGGATGCGTCGTGGGGATCCCTAAACAAATTGTTGTGCATGAGAAGCAGTCAGTCACCGAAAGCTTTGCGACCTCCGGCCTGTCGTTTCCTGTCATCGCGAAACCACTGCTAGTTGACGGAACGCCTAAGTCGCATCTCATGTGGCTTGTGTACAACGAGGAAGGATTGAAGAAACTCTTACCACCATTCGTTCTTCAAAAGTTTGTCAATCACGGTGGTGTGATTTTTAAAGTCTACGTCGTGGGGAATCAAGTGAAATGTCTTCGACGGAAGTCATTGCCTGGTATAGTGACACATGTGATTGAGTCTGTCGAGTTTCTTTTCCCAATACTTGCTAAACGCTCCTCTTCCTTCTTAATAGCTGCGTTTTTTCGTTTGTGTTATGTTTTGATTCGAGGGTGCTCACTCTTTTTTTTTTCTGTGCGTTTCCGCAGATCCTCAACCGCAAGACCTTGCAAACCCTGATGGATTAAGATCATTTTGCCAGGTTTCCAATCTCCCCGGTTTGGGAAGGAAAGGAGGAGAGGTAGCTGATGCAAGCCTTTCACATGTGGAGCTACCGCCAGCGGATTTGATGATATCGATTTCTTCCAGACTGAGAAAGAACCTTGGTCTGAGGTTGTTTAACTTCGATCTGATTCGGGACAGGAACTGCAGCAGACGGTTTTACATTGTCGACATCAACTATTTTCCAGGCTTTGCAAAGATGCCCGGTTACGAGCACGTGATGTCCGATTTTTTTGCAAGCCTGGCTAAGGAGAAGAGAACTCAGACTCTAGAGGAGCCTGCCGCTCAGCTTGTTGAGCGAGCAGTCTGCTGTTAACGTGAAGTTTAATGCCTGAGTCCTGGCAGCAGCGATTATTCTATCTGCTGCCACTACAATACCGGTATGTTCCTCCCCTATGTCTGCGTATTTTCTGTTTTCCTTAATGCTCGTTGATTAATTGTTTTTTTTCCGTGTGTGTGCAGGTTAGTTAGACCATAAAGCTGCTCGTGTGGAGCACACACAGGGACTTCTGTATATTCTGGCTCCCTTACTGACCCATCGCTGAGTCTTATCGATGAAGCTTAGGCTTGTTGTAATGCAAGTGTCTGTATGGTGTAGGCTTTCGGAACGTTTCACCTGGTCCCTCTTTCTTTGTTGAGCCTGTTACCGTATGCCAACTCACAAATCCTGCAGCTCACCAAACCAACACTTCCAGTTGCCTACAATCTACACTTTCAATATACAAAGTGCAGGAAACATTGAAGTCACATCACACCACGTTACACTCTCAGGATCTGCAATTTTGTTGCGTAGGCTATGGCAACCCAGTCTGACTGCAGCGATGACCACTGTAGCTGATTTATCTCTGCGCCAGCAGTGTAGGCCAAAATGGGGTCCAACCCTCCTTCCACAGGCTGCGCCATGGTGGACAGGTCCCAGATCAGAGCTTGGGAGTCATCTCCTGCAGTACAGATGTGGCATGAACTGTGTGGTGCCCATGCAATTGCATTCACACATGCCTGGTGGCGCTGTTGATGCGAAAAGCCAAGGGGATCGGCATATGGGAGGAAAGAGAGGGAAAGGGGGAGAAAATGAAAACAAATTGGTGGGTCTAGCGCAACTGGAAAAGATCAGCGTGCGGTGAAAGATGGTAGACCTGTGGCGGGGAAAGGGTCTGGCCATCTGGTTGCGATACCAGAGGTGGTAATTGCTAACCAGGGCTAACCAGAGAATGAGAGTAACAGAGCAGGACCAAGTGGTGGTAGCGAGGCATCTCACCTGTAGCTCCGCCACTGGCAAAGTGGGGAATCTTATATCGAGGATGACCACTTTGGGTGAGTCCATGAGAATGGTTGCCATGTAGCGCGGGTCCTGCTTGTTCCACCCCAGGCGCAGCAGAGGGGTCTCTGGCTGGGGGCTCTCGTAGATGATGGTGCTGTGCTCCTTGTCCCGCAGATCAAACACTCTCACCGACCCGTCAGCTGGTTGAGGGACAGAAGGAGAGAGAGCACAGGGGAGAGTGGGACAATTGAGACAGGTACCAATGATATGAGTATGGCCCTGGGGGCTCTCGTACACGATGGTGCTGTGCTCCTTGTCTCGCAGATCAAACACTCTCACCGACCCGTCAGCTGGTTGAGACAGTAGGAGAGAGAAAGCAAGGGGAGACAGACAGCCCGAAAGAGGTACATATGAGCATGTGGCTGGGGGCTCTCGTAGTTGATGGTGCTGTGCTCCTTGTCCCGCAAATCAAACACTCTCACTGACCCGTCAGCTGGTTGGGACTGGAGAAGAGAGAAAAGGGGAAGAGAGAAACACAGAGGCAAGTAAGAATGAGTATGGGGCTGGGGGTACTTGCAACAGCACACCTAAGCTATCTGCATTTTCACCTGAGACAGATGCGAAGAGCCCAACTCCCCCCCAGGCGATATCGTAGACCTCCTTGTCGTGAGCAATGAGCTGTGTGTCCACCACCTCCTTCTCCATGTCCCATATGGTGCACGTTGTGTCGATGCTGTGAGGGAGGAAGGCGAGAAGGGACGGGGGGAGGGGGCGAAGAGACTGGGTGAACGGCATGGCATGCAACCCTCGACTAAGGTGAGTGTCCACAACCTCTTTTTGAGGCGCTTAAAAAATCGCCATTTTTTTTTTAGGCGCCTAAAAAATCCACCATCTCCTTCTCCATTTCATATATGGTGCACGTGGTGTCGATGCTGGTTGGGGGGAAGGGCGGGGGACAGGCGAAAGGGGAGAAGGAAGTTTCGGGCGCTGAGGAGAAATTTAAGATTGGAAACAAAAGAGGGCAGCACTGGGGTGGAAATGCAATCGAGATAACAACCAACTAGATTTATTTTCCATACCTGGACGTCCCGAGCCTCCTTGGTTCGGACTCGTTCCAGTCAAAGGAGGTGAGCGGCGCACAGAACTCGCTGTTCTTGTTGTTGTTGAGTACACTGCGCATGCGCACCCCGTCGTCCGTGATCTGATGGGGAACGATGAACACAATACACAGTGGTACACATACAGTGGTACACACACAGTGGTACACACACAGTGGTACACACACAGCACATGAGAGTGGGCACAGAGAGTCAGGCTTGCTGTTGAGCACACTGTGCATGCGCACGCCGTCATCCGTGATCTGATGTGAGAAGAGGAACACAACACACAACGTTACATGCAGAGACAGTCAAAAGAGGATTAGCCCCAAACACACGCGTTATTGAGCACACCGCGCATGCGCACCCCATCGTCCGAGATCTGATGTGAGAAGGACGAACAGAACACACAGTGGCACACACAGCACATGAACAGAGCGGGCACAGAGAGTCGGGCTTGTTGTTGAGTACACCGCGCATGCGCACCCCGTCGTCCGAGATCTGATGTGAGAAGGACGAACAGAACACACAGTGGCACACACAGCACATGAACAGAGCGGGCACAGAGAGTCGGGCTTGTTGTTGAGTACACCGCGCATGCGCACCCCGTCGTCCGAGATCTGATGTGAGAAGGACGAACAGAACACACAGTGGCACACAGCACATGAACAGAGCGGGCACAGAGAGTCGGGCTTGTTGTTGAGTACACCGCGCATGCGCACCCCGTCGTCCGAGATCTGATGTGAGAAGAGGAGCACAACACACAGCAGTACATGAGTGAGCACGATGCACACAGCAGTGAGCGCAGCGCAGTCTCAATCAGGATTGTTGCTGAGCACACTGCACATGTATCCTCTTTCCCCCCCTCCCGCCCCCCCCCCCCCCCCTCCCCCCACCCCGCTCTTTTTCGCCCCTCCCCTCCCTCCGGCACCTGCCAGATCCGCAGGAAGTCGCCGGACGTGGCGAGCAGGTCCGGGCGGGCATTGTCGCGGCCCGGGACGAACATGAGCTTTGTGGGCGGGTACGGGTGGTCGAACGTCAGGCGCGGGTCGCTCCTCAGCTCGCCTGTGCTGTCGTCTAGCTGGACTATCTCCACCTACAAGAGGGGGAAGGAGGAAGGGGGAAGGGGGAGGGGGAGGAAGATAGGGAGGAGAGGAGGAGGGGGAGGGGAGAGACGGAAAGAATTAGGTCAATGCGAAACGTCGTAGTGGAGCAAAGATAGAAATAACAAAAATAACTACCTCAGTCCGAGATGCTGCTGCTGTTCCCCGCATGACCGAGCCACCTTCTACCTCAGTCCGAGATTTTGTGCAACACGACACGCTCACCGGTGTAATTCCGTAGCCGTCCGTCTTACCTTATTCCGGTAATCTTCTATGAAGCTTCCGACGGCGAGGCGGAAATTCTTGTCGGGGCGCACGCTCCAGTTCATGCTGTAGACGGGCCATGGGGCCTCGTACGTGTAGATCTCCGCGCGCTTCGCCGGACCGCTGTCCGCACACGCGTCCATCGCGGCGCGGAGGAGAAAGTGAGCCTGGAAGGTGCGACTGGGACTGAATCTAGCAGCAGCGAGTCGGAAGTGCCGGCGAGACGACTTTTGAGACGACTTAAAAGCTTAGTGACGTCTCCAAAGGGCGAGGCGGACTGGCCCTAGCAACAGTGGGTCGGATGTGGCGGCAAGGACGACTATTGAGACGTCTCAAAAGCTTGGTGACGCCTCCAAAGGGCGAGGCGGCCGACTGAATCTAGCAGCAGCGAGTCGGGTGCGGATGAATACGAAGCGAATGAGCGCGAAACGCGTGTCGAGTCGGCTTGAACGTACCGCAGAAGCTACGGAGGGCGGATACGGGCTAGTAAGCGAAGGAGGGAACTCTCTCAGACAAGAGAAGTTTGGATTTGAAAACAGGCAACTCGTCTAAATGCAGGGAGATTTTTACAGCGGTTGGACGCGGTTGCGAGAGAGGACGGACGGAAATAAAATACAGGCCGAGATGACAAATCACGACGTCAAGTTAAATCGCATCTCGGATAGAGGCCCGAGCCGTGGAAACTCAAGTCGAAATGTACAGACCAAAGCGAGAGATACAGGAAATGAAAGTTACTAATCCCACTGCAGAAAATGATATGCACAATTGACCAAGTCTTCTGGGTTTCCCAGCAGAGATTTACAGAATTCTATTTTATGAGAACAGAATCAATTGTATCCCTTGAGAAGCACTCCCACTGTTCTATCTCGCTCTCTCTAACTGCTGATAAGTCTGACATTCCTCTGAGTGGTTTCGGACAGCCATGGCCAACAGCAAGGAACGGGGCCGCAAAATGCGGGAAGCAGTTGGCGTGAGGAGAAGCGTCAGTCGTGCAGGTGCAGGGAGGAGTTGAAACGTACAGTAACGCGCAGTACCTACGCTCACCTTTCTCGTTCCATCCAATTATTCAGACCTTAATGAAATTTGTGTATGATATCAGACTGCATATCGCCGCAGATTCCTCTGTAACTGCATAGCGAAAACGGGTTACTTATTCTCAAGACTTTCGCTGTAGCAAGTCTCCTCCGCAATCCACCCTGCCCAACCCTTGACCACTAGACTAGGGTGTCCCTCATCTTGACAGTGATCCACGTAAGACACTCAACCGTGCACATTCTCGTAGTTTCTGTGCGTTTCCCCAAGGTAAAGGTGGCTTTCTACGCGGTAGTAAAATAGCAGAGTACAGTAATTGCTACTTTTGACAAGGCTTCTCGAGAAGACTAGCCTTTTCTTTGACAGACAGAAACCTTGACAGAGGAGAAACCCAGAGCCCGCGCCATTCACACCATCAGATCATCTAGGGTAAAAGGCCACCTCGTTGGTTTCTTGCAGACATAACCCAGATTCTTTTCGTGTGGTTTAGTCCGCGTTTCTCTTAGTTCGCTTTCTCGCGTTCTCAACCTAGCTGGGCTAGGCTGTACATTCACTAATCCAAATACCTTTTTTCAGATTCTCACAGATCTCGCATTCTTTTCCGCAGTGGTACAACACAAATCGACAGTTTTTTTCTTCTTTGTCTTCGTTTTAGTCACACCGTATCGGTTTGGGCGATCCTTAAGCGACAGCATGACGGGAAAGGCGAAGCCAAAAAAGCACACGGCGAAGGAGCTCGCCGCGAAGGCCGACGCGGCGACGACCAATCGCGGAGGCGGAAAAGCCGGGCTGGCTGACCGTCTGGGATTGGACAAAGGCGGTCACGCGAAGCTGGCGTGTCCGGTCTGCAAGGCGACGGCGCCGGACATGAAGAGCATGCAGATCCACCACGAGGCTCGGCATCCGAAGCTGCCGTTCGACGACGGCAAGCTGATTCATCAGCACGAGGGCGTGGATCTCGACAACAAGGAGCGACCCGGCGTTCGCGGGAGTATAAAAAAGAAATAAAACGGCTACATTTTAAGCTGTCTTACCTCTCGGTCATGGCATGGCGTCTTTAGGGTTGTATCTCTTTCTCAAGGATGTTTCAGTCGATAAGTTTTTTCCTTTCGATATTCAAGGGGCTAGAAACGAGTTTGGAACGCTTTTGGAGCGGTCAGTGTACAGCAGCAGCGGGAGGAACGGCGTCAGGTGAAAGCCAATACCGGCCTGAAGGCTTCTCGCAGTCAGAAGTTCAAGCAGCAATCCCGGCTGCTGTGAACTAGCAGGACGTCAGCTGATACTGGTTGCTGGTGGCATTGGGTGAAGGTGCGGCGGCGGGAAGCAGTCTGTCTGTCATGTGCCTTCGTCTGTCTGTCACGACCTCTACGCTTGCAGCTTGCGGGTTCCAGGTGCCGGCTGGAGTTTGCCTTCTTCTCATTCAACCTTTTACCGGTAACAGATACTCCATTATTGCGGTTGCTAGCCCCAGTTCCTCTCCCTATCGCAGAAGCTGCTTGCTTGCCTGGTTCCCAGCTCTGTTGATGTGGTGCTTCAAACTCGTTCTGAGTGGATTAATTTTCGACTTCAAACCTATTATAATGTAGGTGATCAGGGTGAGGGTTGAAGATGATTGCTGTTGTGTGGGCTGACTACGCTTGTCTTGCCGTATTTGGCCTTTTTAGTACCATATATTAAGCCGGAGCTGTTCAGTGCAAAGGTTCAGAGATATATGGCCTCAGTTTTTTCAGGACAAACCTTCAAAGCATACTGAATGAACTCCAGCTGTCATTCATGTGTGGATAGGAACATCCAAACCAAGTTACTTCTGAAGTACCATGTAGCCTTATGCATATTATATCTTAACATCAATTGGTGTCATGCAGCAGCAGCAAGGACACTGCACTTGCCACAGCTCCGGGCACAGCTGCTGAGCATATACCCGGGGTTCTTCTCACACTCCCCAGCCTTGGCCCACGGAACACAATTCTCGCTCTCATCCACACACGCACCAGGCGGATGCGACGGAGAAGATACTTTCCCGCCTTCTCCCCCTCCTTCCTCCCCGTCATCTTCTTCCTCGAAGGAGCGCACGTGGATCCTGGTGGCGGACCACTTCTCCCCGGCCAGCACGGGGCAGCCCGCGTGGAGGGATGCTAAGTCAGGCTCGGCGGACGGCTTGAGGGAGAAGAAGAGCAGCGCATCGCCCTTCACTGGCTTGGCTGCAGGGGGGAAAGGAAGGGGGAGATGAGTGGGGAGGAAAGGGTTTGGGGGAGAAGGCAGAGGGCTTGAGGGAGAATAAGAAGAGCAGCGCATCGCCCTTCACTGGCTTGGCTGCAGGGGAAGGGGGAATGGGTGGAATTGGGAAGGTGAATGGGGGAGGAGGGAAGGTGAATTGCATCTATAAGAGACCCCATGGGGAAGGTAGTGCTTCAAAAGGGCAGGTCAGGTCGGGTAGAGGAGTAAGAGACGAGTGTCACTTGATAGAACCAGGGTTGGAGATGAGGAGGGAAAGGGATGGGGCATGGGGGAAAAAGTGAATGCTGCAAGGGCCGGGCCATGGGGTGAAGGGAAAATGTTGCATTGGCACGAGGGGCTGGTAATCACCAGCCAGTATAAACGAAACTCCTCGATTATTCTAGTTTTGAGACGTCTCAAAACGAAACTCCTCGATCATTCACCTGCCCTTTTACCGCGACCCATCTCCACACCCGCTAACAATGCTCACTTGGGAAAATCCAACTCCCATTACCACCCCTCCCATCCCCATCTCCCCCATCCCCATCTCCCACACCCCCATCTCCCACACCCCCATCTCCCCCATCCTCATCTCACCTGCCACACCCTGCTTGCCACAGTCAGACCACGTGTCGTCCTTCACTTCCTTGTCCTTCTGTGTGATTGGGGCACGGTGGAACACGATGGGCCGTGATGTTTATGCATGTTGAACCTATTGATGTGGGAACACTATGTGGAAAAAATTGGCATGATGCACCATGGATGACATGGCGTGGGCATTGTACGAAATGAGAAGGCATAATATGCACAAGTGCACACACTCTCTCGCTCTCACCTCTGAGTCTGGAAACATGGTCTCCCCTCCACTGAACCCATCAGTGAGGCACATGAGCACAGTGGGATAGCGGTGGCCCCTCTGCTGCTTCTCGTCCTCCTTCCCAACCCCTTCCATAGAGACACACACATGCACCCACCCACTATCTCACCTCAGAGTCTGGAAACACGGTCTCCCCCCCATGGAACCCATCAGTGAGATACATGAGCACAGTGGCATAGCGGTGCCCGCCCTGCTGCTGCTTCTCGTCCTCCTCGAAAAAGTCGTGGTGAGCGTCGTACTTCTGCCCCACAGCGTACCGCAGCACCTGCATCGACTCCTGGTTCTCTGGAGTGTACATGGCGACAGGGATGTGGGGGAACAGTGGCCGTCAATGCCTGCCCCTTATCCCCAAAATAGTTGTGCTGGGCGTCGTACTTCTGCCCCACTGCATACCGCAGCACCTGCATCGACTCCTGGTTCTCTGGGGTATGCATGGGGAAAAGAAAGGGGGGGAGATGGGGGTCGGGCACAGGAGCTCGCCCCAAGTGCCAAAGATGAGCACAGTGGTGTAGCGGTGCCCTCCCTGCTGCTGCTTCTCGTCCTCCTAGAAAAGTGGTGTGCATCGTATTTCTGCCCCACTGCATATCGCAGCACCTGCATCGACTCCTGGTTCTCTGGAGTGTACGGGGTGGGAAACGGGGTGTGTGTGGGGGAAAGTGAGTGGCATAGGTACCTGCTTCTGTCGTACTTCATTTCCACGGCATATCGCAGCACCTGCATCGACTCCTGGTTCTCTGGGAAGGGATTTGCGATGCGCGTGCAAGATTATTGGGAAGAGGCGTAGGGTATTGGAGAGGTAGGGATGACGTACAGAAGCATTCAGATAACGGCGTACATGCAGGCAGGAACACAGGCGGACAGGCTGAGAAGGGAAAGCAAAGCAGGCCGAAGGGAGGTACTTCACGACAGCGTACATGCAGGCAGGAACACAGGCGGACAGGCTGTTCGAGAATGATTCGATTTTAGAGTCGACTCAAAAGCCGTCTCCTCTCACGCAAATAGAAACGCACATGTACGTGGGAGCTCAGGCGTGCAGGCTGTTCAAGAGGCTTGCAAAGATATATGTCCTACCAGTGAGGGTGGAGGGCGCACCAGGAGGGGGGAGGCGGGCTGAGGCACGGGGGAGGAAGGAGTGCAGGGGCACGGGTGGGGAAAGGGAAGGGGGGGGGGAGGAACGAAGGTGGACATACCAGGGGGAAGGAAGGTCCAGGTAGCAAGGCGGTCTTCAATGCGCTTGATGACGTCATCCTGAGGGAGGGGCAAGCGGAGGGTGCATGGGGAGGGGCATGGGAGGGGGAGTGGGAAGGGGCATAGGAAGAGGCATGAGAAGGGGCATGCCGATGGTTCTATGTAGGCATGTGGATTGTAGATCGAGCTGCATGTTACAGGTTAGCACACAGAGCAGGGGTAGCACGCAGAGCACATAGGTTCAAGGTGCAGGAGCATTGTGTGCTGAATCTGGTACAGGGTCACACACAGAGACCTATAGTCTTCTATGATGCTGGATGCGTTGACTTTTGAGTCGACTCAAAAGTCACCAGGGTCACACACAGAGACCTATAGTCTTCTGTGATGCTGGATGCGTTGCTGCCTACCTGTCAGCCAGCACTGCTGACCACTCCATCCATCCGCCTTTGACCAACAAAGTCAGCAACGGGTGGTTACGACTCCATCCACCCTTTGACAAACAAAGTCAGCACTGCCAGCAGGTTACAGAGAGAATCCCGGGGTGACTCAAAGGGTAACAGCGCAACGCACCTGAGAAATATCGAGGAAGCAACCGGAGCTGACCTGTAGTCGTCTACCACGCTGGAGCCATTATCAGCCAGCACTGTTGACCGCTCCATCGTTTAGGCTGGGTGGGCCTAGTGTGGCCCTTGCCATGCGTAGTGGTGAGAGTATTGAATGGACATTGTCAGCTATTACTAGTGAGTGGACTCAAAAGTAACAATGGTAACCGACCTGGGCAATATCGAGGAAGCAACCAGAGCTGGACCTGTAGTCGTCGACAACACTGGAGCCATTGTCAGCCAGCACTGTTGACCGCTCCATTTTGGGGTGCGCCTAGCGGGCGAGAGACGAGGAAAGAGAGAGCGGGACGGGAGCAGGAGAGCAGGAGGGGAGAGAAGGGAGGGAGAGAGGGGGAGAGAAGGGAAGGAGAAAGAAAAGAGAGGGAGGGGAGGAAGGTTAAGAAGGGAACTGACCTGGGCAGTTTCCAGGAAAGTTCCGTAGCTGGTGCGAATGGGGTCTATCTCCTCGGTGTCATTGTCTGCCACCACTTCCGACCGAGTCATGTTGGGCCGCGCCTGGTGGTAAAGTTTGGAGGGAGGGGGGGGAGGAGAGACGCAGTGGAGGGATGGGGGAGTGTGGCAATGGGGCAGTGCAGGGAAATGGAGTCTATCTCTTCGGTGCCATTGTCCGCCACCACTTCCAAGCGAGTCATGTTGGGCCGCGCCTGGGAGGATGAAGGATTAGGAATATGTGGGTGTGAGGAAATGGGGGAATGGACAGTGGTGGGATGGGCGGGGAGGTGATGAGGGAATGTGTCTATCTCGGCGGTGCCGTTGTCCGCCACCACTTCCGACCGACTCATGTTGGGGTAGTGAGGGAATGAGAATGTTGTGGCATGGGGCAACGCGGTGAAGCAGTGGCGAATAGCCCCAGTGGAGAGAGTTGTTGTGCATGCATGCTTATCAGCTCACTTATTTTTTATCCCAACCCTCATATGTGCATGCACACATGCCAGCTCAGCAATGCGCGTGCATACATACCAGTTCAATAATATGATCGCACTCCTCATGGGACAGGAACTGCTTGTAAATCCACGCTCTAGGGGGTAGAGAGAAGGGGAGCGGGCGAGAAAGGGAGAAAAGGGGGGAAATGGAGAAACGAGGGCTACATGGAGGATGCAACTTATGGCCTTAGGGATAGCAATGGTGGCGTGGCAGGGAATGGGTGTGGCGAGGTGACTGAGTGGGTGTGGGGATGGGTGGAGAGAAGGAGAACGAGTGGTAACAGTTGCATTGAGACATCTAGTTTTGAAACGTCCTCAACGCATTGTCATTTTTGGGCCATCTAGAATGCACGCGCTGAAGTCTAGTTCGAGACGTCTCAAAGCATTCAAAACACAGACAGAATAATCAGCTGCTCTTGCAAGTTGGGTTAGGAGCGGAGAGGAGACTTGACAGATGCAAAACGGTGCCACGTCATCGTCATCATGTGTGACTGTCCACGTCAGCACATGCTCCACCTCACCTTGGTTTCCACGATAGACGGACGATGCGAGGCTCACTCAACCCGGGTTCAGGTTCACCTGCTGCTGGCTTGGGTTCAGGCGTGGAGCGATAGCTGAGGGGGGGGAGGGAGAGAAAGGGGTGCGGGGGATGGGGGGGGAGAGGAGCGGGATAAAGGATGGGTGGTTGACGCAAGGCTCGCTCAGCCCGCGTTCAGCTGCTGCTGGCTTGGGATCAGGGGTGGAGCGATAGATAGCTGAGGGGAGGGAAGGGGGGAAAGAAACGGAGGAGCAGGGGCGTGGGAAGGAGGAGGTCGGGGGGGGGGGGTGTGATCAACGTAGGAATGACGTTTCAGCACTGCTGGAACACGAAGACTACACACTAAGGCGGTAACAGCAAGAACATGCGGACAAGAAAAAGGCAACGTGTCGGCTGCTTACGTGTCACCGAGCCAGCCTGGAAGAGCGTCGACTTCAAATCCCGAAGCGGGTTCCGCCAGAAGCATCAGAAGCGCCAGCGCGAGCGGCGCTAGCAGGAGAAGAACCGGCCTCGATGGTCCTCGGTTGGACATTAGACTTACTCGACCCATTGAATCCATTATTTAGGTTCCCAGTTGAGGCAGATTTATATAAGAGTGTAAGCCACGAATTTGTGGTATTTAATATGGTGGTTGTCGACGGCGACCAGAGACGGAGTGAGAGATACGGCAAGTGAACTGAGCCAGACTCCAGGGACACAAGCAAAGAGAAACGAGGTATTCGGTCCGCGCACAAATGACACCACAGCAAAAAAGGATTCTGCTACTGCTGCTCTGGGATGAAGAAAAAAAGGCAAAGAGATGTGGGATGGGTTGCGATGGCGCGGAATCTGGCAATCCCGATTCCCGAAGTCACTGGAACTCCAGGAAGAAAAACAACCATCAGAAATTAAAATGAGCAGCCCTTGAGAATTTCCTGAAATGCACAAGGAGATGGAATCCCGAGGTGGTTACCCGGCAGCGTCGGATCACGAGGTTTCTCATTGGGTTGCGGTGAACAAACATTCTCGCAAGACTCATTGGTGGGCAGAAATCTTTCGCACAACCAGTAACGAATCGCCTTGCGAAACACATTCTCCACTACGTCACCCCTCCCAAATGCTGCTGTGCTTGGTTTTCACTCCTCGCACCACTGACACACTGCAATTCCCTGGAGTTCGTTTCCTTACGGAGTTGCAAGCATCAGTACATGTCTAATCTGGTCTGGTCATTCACACAACTTTCCTGACCAGAACTAACCTTGGTTGTCCTGTCATGTTTTGTTAGCTAAAGCAGACCCGCCTTTCCAAAACAAGGAAGCGTGTAAAGCACAGCCGGCTGGTGGAATAGCGGCAAGGCTGCCTGATTATACTATAGTCACTGCACTGACGAAGAAACTCGTTGGTTTGGGACCAGCGGCGTCGGTTTGCCATGGCCTCTGTCGCTAGTTCACGACAAGCCCTTGTAATTATGATGAGCGTTCTTCTTGCGAATGCCGTTTCCGGACACTCTATCGAAGCAGCTGACCACCAATCTGGCATGGCGTACGTTCCAGACCGCAGATACGCCGCAAGCTTATCGCAACTCACCGCAATCGTAGCGCTATACGACGTATTCCGTCCATTCTGACCTGTCCGTGTCTTTATTCTGCGTAAACGTTGGTCACACGTGTGTTACAGCGATGCTGATGTGGACATCCCCCCGTTGGAAGAACCCCCTGTTCACATTCCTGACGTCAGCAAGGTTCAACGGCTTGCTTGGAAGCCTAGGTACTGCTTCGCGAAGCTCGAGCTGTTTTTCCCTCAATTTCTAGCGAAAATTTCGTCCACATTCAATGTGGTTACATTTTCTGAGCAGGCAATGGTTAACACAATGCTGACACGTGTCATGCTGTAATGGTGTTTTCACTTTCCAGGGCGTTCCTGTTCCCCCAATTCTTATCCGAGGCGGAGTGTGACTACATTGTGAATTATGTGAGTACCAACCAACAATATCACAGGCACTTGTTATGATCCATAATTCCCATCTTTCCAATCCTTGCCATCCACCCCATTCATACTACTTGATTTTCTAGCATAAACTTATGTCATGCCCCCCTCCCCCCACCCCCTTTCTTCCCCCCCTCCTCGCACTACCCTCCGCATCTCCCCATCATCCATCACCCCCCCCTTACAGTCACGACCACGGATGGAGCGGTCTACAGTGCTAAGCAACAGTGGGAAAAGCGTGCAGGATAGCATTCGCACCAGCGATGGCTCCTTCATTGTTAAGTACGAGGTGCGGAAACAGCAGCTCAACTTGCTTAATAATTGCCCGATATAAGTTGTATACCAGATGGAGAATATCAATCGGAGTACAAGGCTACAGCAGCATGTTTAGAACATGATAAGGAGCAACAGCAGGCTTCGTTACCTTTGATCCAAGCCTCCATTAAGTTTACTTCATTCCAAGTGGTAGTCAGAGGGACTAGCTGGTGTGCTGTGCTCGCATTCTGTGCAATGCCAGTGCCGTGCTGCCTCCACGACTCTTGCTTCAATCATTCCTTCACCCATCTCCAACCTACCTCCACCCATCTCCACCCTACCTCTACCCATCTCCACCCTATCTCCATTCCATCTCCAACCCACCGCCACCTCCCCGCCATCTCCCCACTGTGCCAGAATCCAGTCATTCGGCGCATTGAAGAGCGCGTGGCTGCTTGGACCTTCCTCCCCATCGGTAAGCCCTTCCTCCCCATCGGTAACCCCTTCGTCCCATCAATAACCCGTTCCCCCCTGCTCGCACATTTTCAATTCCTACCTCCCTCCCTGCCTCCCTCCCTCACTCTCTCCCTACCTCCCTGCCTGTGGATGCACAGAGAACCAGGAGGCGATGCAAGTGTTGAGGTACAGGGACGGGCAGGAGTACGGCGCACACTGGGACTACATCGATCCTGCCAAGGCACCCACCCCAGGTGGCCCTCGCTACGCCACAGTGCTCATGTACCTCTCTAATGTGGAGAAGGGCGGCGAGACTGCCTTCCCTGAGTCCGAGGTAAGAGGGGTAGACAATGGGGGGCTGGGTGGGTATTATGGGTGGGCATGAGGGCAGGCACCCACCCCAGGGGGCCCTCGCTACGCCACGGTGCTCATGTACCTCTCTAATGTGGAGAAGGGCGGCGAGACTGCCTTTCCTGAGTCCGAGGTAGACAGACAGGTTAGGGGGTGGGGGAGGGGAGAGAGTAAGCATGAGACGAATCACCCACTCTAGGGGGCCTGCAATACGCCACGGTGCTCATGTACCTCTCTAACGTGGAGAAAGGTGGAGAAACCGCCTTCCCTGAGTCCGAGGTATGTGAGGCATACAGGCGGGGGCTGGGTGGGTATTATGGGTGGGCAGGCATGAGGGGAAGCACCCCTCTCTCGCGAATGGTCCTTGTATTAAATCCGAACTAGTACAGACATGCATGTACGTAACTAGCAAACAAGCAAACACGCCCAATGCTTCTGGGTGCTTGTACATGAGGACAGGGGTTGTTTGTGTTTCCTCGCTTCTAATGAGTGACATACGAGTGAAGCTAACAGCTGCATTTTTCTTTCTCTCTTCCCTTCGTGGTGTGTGTTTCCTGCTGCTGCTGGGTGCTTGTACAGGAGGACACTGTAGTGAAGGATGACTCGTGGAGTGACTGTGGGAAGAAGGGCATTGCTGGTATGTACTATGCACCCCTCGACACACCTCTACACACCTCGACACACCTCTACACACCTCGACACACCTCTACACAGCTCCATTGATGCGTGCCTCATATGTTTCCATTTCCCCCACCCACACCCCCCTTTTTTTTCCAACCCCAACTCCCCCAACCTCGCTCAACGTCCCTGCTCCAAACCCCTATTATGCGAGCCAATTCCTCCCCCTCCCTCTCCACCGCTCCCTCTCCCCCCTCCTCCCACTCCCCCCCTCCCACTCCCCCATCCCTGTCCCAGCCAAGCCCAGAAAGGGAGACGCACTGCTCTTCTTCTCCCTCCACCCCTAACCCTCCCCTTCCCCCGTCCTCCCCCCATTCCCATTACAGCCAAGCCCAGAAAGGGAGACGCGCTGCTCTTCTTCTCTCTCCACCCCTAACCCTCCCCTTCCCCCGTCCTCCCCCCATTCCCACTACAGCCAAGCCCAGAAAGGGAGACGCGCTGCTCTTCTTCTCCCTCCAGCCCTAACCCTCCCCTTCCCCCGTCCTCCCCCCATCCCCACTACAGCCAAGCCCAGAAAGGGAGACGCGCTGCTCTTCTTCTCCCTGCACCCGGACACATCCTTCGACCAATCCTCCCTCCATGCGGGCTGCCCCGTACTGGCCGGGGAGAAGTGGTCCGCCACCAAGTGGATCCACGTGGGGAGCTTCGACCTGCCGCCCCGTGATGCATCTGTGTGTGCCGATGACAACGAGAATTGCGCGCACTGGGCGAGCATTGGGGAGTGCGAGCGTAATAAAGCGTACATGGTGGGAGCGGGGGGAGCGGGGCCGCAGAGCCTTGGTTATTGCAGAAAGAGCTGTGGGGTGTGCACATAGGGGTTGCGTTACCTCCCCTTTGACCTCCTGCCCCTGTCGCATCTGCAGCAGCAGCAGCAGCAGGAACAGCAGCAGCAGCGGCAGCTGCAGTTCAGGCAGGGGCAAGAGAGAAGTAGGACGAGCTCAGATCTCAATGATCCAGCATAGGTAGTACCGAGTCGATTGTACGGGACAATTTGAGGCCACTCAAGTGGCAAACCGTTTCTTCCTTGTGTTTTTCTCTCTTCGCTGCACACTGTGAAGTGGCCTGCACACTGTGAAGTGACCTGCACTCACATCCACTACTATCACACTGACATCTGTTTCAACCATCATATCGTACAAACGTAATATCCACATCATCGATCTATAATCACTCATCCTTCTTTAGTCACATGCACATCTGCCTGTTACAAAATGAATTTTTTTGAAAGTGTGTAACACTTTCTAAAAATGCGTATTGTGAAAGCGCAGCTGTCTGTATCGCAGCAAGGCAATGGCGAATTACAATTCGCCGAGTACATAACGAGGGTTGGAGGCCATTTGGCCTCCACCCACGTCTTCATTTGGAACTTGCAGTTCCA